ATCTAAAAATTCATCATCATACCTAAGATCATCTAGATTTTTTGCTTTGTTCTAGAGGTTTTATAGTTTTTTATTTTACATTTAGATCTATGATCCATTTTGAGTTAATTTTTGTGACAGTTATAAGGTCTTTGTCTATACTTATTTCTTTGCATGTGGATGTCTAGTTGTTCAAGAACCATTTGTTAAAAATACTGTCTTTTCTCCATTCCATTGCCTTTGCTTCTTTGTCAAAGACCAGTTGACTATATTTATGTGGATCTGTTTTGGGGCTGTATTCTACTCCACTGGTCTGTCTGTTCTTTTACCGGTACAACACTGTCTTGATTACTGTAGCTTTGTAGTAAATCTTGAAGTCAGATAGTGTCAGTCGTTGTTTTTCAATATTGTGTTAACTATTCTGGGTCTTTTGCTTCTCTGTATAAATTGTAGAATTAGTCTTTTGATAGACACACAATAACTTGCGAGATTTTGATTGGGGTTACATTGCTTCCATAGACCAAGTTGGTAAGAACTTACATCTTGGCAGTATCGAGTCTTTCTATCCATGAACGTGGAATATCTTTCCATTTATTTAGTTCTTTAATTTTTGTCAGAGTTTGGTGGTTATCTGCATATAGATCTTGAACATAGTTTATTAGTTTCATAACTAAGCATTGTTGAGGGTGCTAATGTAAGTGGTACTATGTTTTAATTTCAAATTCCACTTGTTCATTGCTGGTATATAAGAAAGTGACTGACTTTTGTTTGTTAACTTTGAATCCTGCAACCTTAATGTAATTGATTACTAGTTCCAGGAGTATTTTATCACCTGTGAATAAAGACAGTTTTTATTTCTTTCTTCCTAATCAGTATACTTTTTATTGCCTTTTCTATTCTTACTACCTAAGCATGGACCTCTGGTACGATGTCAAAAAGAAGTGAGAGGAGATATCCTTGCCTTGTTCCTGATCTTAGCAGAAAGGCTTCTAGTTTTTTGGGTTTTTTTTTTTTCTTGTTTTGTTTTTTACGATTTTAAATATGATTTTAGTTGTGAGTTTTTTGTAGATTGTTCTTCGTCAAGTTGCGAAAGTTGCCCTCTGTTTCTAGTGGGTTGTTCCTTTCTATTGGTTAGTAGTATTTATTGCTTATTGCATGCATATGCCACAATTTGTTTATCCGTCTGTTGATGGATATGGATAACAGTTTTCGGCTGTTACAAGTAAAGCCGCTGTGAACATCTGTGTGCAAGTCTTTAGAGACACGTGCTCTCTTTTCTAATGGATAAAGACATAGGAGTGATATGGCTGGGCCACAGGATTCTTGTTTGTTTAGCTTTAACACATTGTCACACAAGAAAAAAATTTTTTTCCTTGGGCCACAGTGTTTTATTATAAAAACAGAGTAAAACTTTGAAAACAAAATGATCCTTTCTAATTTAATGAAAAATTTGTCATTTTTTATGGTTTTCTGTGCATGAGTTATATGCAACTTGAAAAATAATTCAAGGTAAAGACATTTGTGAGTTATACACTGTTTAGGTCCCACTTATGAGAGAGAACATATGGTAATTGACTTTCTGTTTCTGAGTTATTTCATTTAAGAGAATGGTCTCCAGGTCCATCCATGTTGTTGTAAAAGACATGATTTTATTCTTTTTTTTGTGACTGAATAGTATTCCATTGTGTGTATATGTCTGTGTGTATCACATTTTCTTTATCTGGTCATCCATTGACGGGCACTTGGGTTGATTCCATATGTTTGCTATTGTAAAAGGTATTGTAATAAACATACAAGTGCAGATATCTCTTTGATATAATGATTTCTTGTACTTTAGGTAAATATCCAGCGGTGGGATTGCTGGATTCAATGGTAGTTCTATTTATAGTTCTTTGATAAATATCCATACTATTTTCCATAGAGGTTGTACTAATTTACATTCCCTTCAACAGCATAGTTTCCTTTTCTTTACAATCTTGCCAATATCAGTTAGTTTTTGACTTTTTAGTGATAGCTATCCTGATTGGTGTAAGGTGATATCTCATTGTAGTTTCAATTTGCAGTAGTCTGGTTATTAGTGATACTAAACATTTTTTCATGTGCTTGTTGGCCATTTGTATGTCTTTTGAAAAATGTCTATTTGTGCCGTTTGCCGACTTTTTAATAGGGTTTTATTATTAATTCTTGGTTGTTTGAGCTTCTTGTAAATTCTGGATACCAGTTCACTGTGAAATGCAAAGTTTGCAAATATTTTCACCCATTCTGCAGGTTGTCTGTTCACTCTGTTGATTATTTCTTTCGCTATACAGAAGTTTTTTAGTTTAATTAAGTCCCATTTGTCTTTTTGTTTTTGTTGCCTGTGCTTTGTCTTTGTCATGAATTCTTTGCCTAGACCAGTGTCTAGAAGAGTTCTTCCTAGATTTTATTCTAATATTTTTATAGTTTTGGGTGTTACATTTAAGTCTTTAATCTATCTTGAGTAGATTTTTGTCTATGGTGAGAGATAAGGATCGAGTTTCATTTTTCTGCATATTGCTATCCAGTTTTCCCAGCACTAATTATTGAAAAAGGTGTCCTTTCCCCATTGTATGTTTTTGTTGACGTTGTCAAATAGCAATTGACCGTAGGTATGTGACTTTATTTCTGGGTTCTCTGTTTTGTTCCATTGATCTATGTGTCTGTTTTTATACCAGTACCATGCCATTTTGGCTTCCATGGCTTAGTAGTATAATTTGAGGTAAGGTAATATGATGCCTCTAGCTTTGTTATTTTTGCTTTAGATGGCTTTGGATATTCAGGTATTTTAAATATTAATGCTTACAAATACTAGTTAAACTTTTACTGTAATAAATTTATAAAGCAATCACCTATTATAACATGCTGACTATATAGCTTATATACATTTTGCATATGTTTTATAAACCACCACATTATTGGTTCTAATAGCCCTTTACTTGGCCTTCTTGGATTTTTTTCAGGTAATAGATTTTTCAAATAGTAATTATTTCTGTTTTGTTCTAATATTTATCTTTTCCTAGTGCACTGGATTGAATTTCCAGTCTCAGTTGAACAATGGTAATGATAGTGTACTACCATCTTACTTTTATCTTTTCTTTAACAGTTATGCCCCTTTTTCTGTTTTAGTGTGATCATGGCCACTGATTTGAGAAAAATCTAGTTTATTATTAAGAATCCTTTGCTCAGTTCTTTGAGTTTTTTAAAAAAACAGGTAGTAAATTTTAAATTTTACTGAATGCCTTTCAGCATCGAAAGAGAAAGTTGTGTGTGAGTTTTCAATGTAATGAATAGTCTTAGAATATCCTTACATTCTTGGAATAGTCCTACTTGGTTGTAGTATACTTTTCTTAAATACAGAGCTGAGTGTTATTTCATAATGTCAATTTTTTATTAATATTCATTAGACTGCTTTTTCATTTGTATTTTTTCTGGGGTAATACTAGGCTTGTGATAGCTTGCTAAAAGTACATTTGAATATTTTCACATTTTATATGTTTTGGATTAATTTTAAAATCTTAGTAATTATATGTACTTGATAGCATGATAAAACATGCAAGTAAATTTTGGGGGCCTGACAACATCTTTAGAGCAGTGGTTAAAAAAAGCAAAAGTTTTTCTTTTTCTCTCATAGCTGTTAAGTGTAGTCACTGTGAATTTTCAGTCCCTTTCTGTAATATCCTTAGTCATCTCTTAGGTAATAAAGTTTGTTCTCTAATTTACTTTTCTGTTTTTGTGTTTTCCTCCAAAAAGTGTTCATGAAAATAATATTGTTCCAAGTTTATTGTTGATATGTTTAAACATGTTCGAAGATGTTTAAATGGATTTTTCTATATCTTGTGATATTTTTCTACATTTTTTTATTTGGTTAAAAATTTTAATTAGACATAACTAAGTTTTAAAAATATTGTTTATTGTTTATACAATTTCCATTTTAGCATGCTTATTTTGGTTTACTTCTTAGTTTGAATATTTGTTTTTTTATTTTGTCAGGCCTCATACATGATTGGTAAACTTTTCAAGGACTTGTTATATATGTTCTAATCTACTTGTCAATGAGCAGTATCTTGCTTGACTATAATATTCACGAATATTAGTCTTATTTCCCTCAAAAAAAATGTGAGCTTTGCTTTTAGAAATGAAATAAGTATTATATGGAAGAAGTTTGATGTCATTTCATTTTAACTTGTGAAATTTTTTTTCTTTACCCTCAAATGGAAAAAATGATTTCATATTTATATAAGTATTTCTTTGTTGATGTTTTCTGGCAATTAGTCTGTCTTAAATTATTTTTTAATTAGAGAGTTTTGATATCGGGACTCTTCAAAAGAAGATACTTAAGAATTATATTTGGTTTGAAAGATCCTGCATATATAAGTTATCTATTGCTGTGTAAAAAATTATCCCCAAACTTAGTTGTTTTAAAACGATACTCATTTATTATCTCTCAGTTTCTGTGAGCCAGGCATGGCTCAGCTGGGTCTACTGCATCAGTCTCACAAGGCTGCAAAGTGTCAGGCAGGGCTGGGAACTCAGGTGATAGCTTGACTGGGGAAGGCTCTTATTTCTAAGCTAATTCTTGGTCTAAATCCAGTGCTTTTTCCATTGTAGTACATATCGGTGGGTATCTGATTAAGTATAATCACTGTGAATTTTCAGTCCCTTTCTGTTATATCCTCAGTCATCTCTTAGATGGTCAAATTTGCCCTCTAATTTACTTTTTTGTTTTTGGTTTTTCCTCCAAAAAGTGTTCTTAAAAATAATATTGTATACATGTATATATGTAATACATATTGGCGGGTGTTTGATTTATTTGATCCCAACTTTTCAAATCTCACATCCAGCCCAGAGAACATCTAGCCTTTTCACTTCTTTTTATTATTCAGTCATAAATGAACACACATACGCATACCCCTACAGAGGTGGGGGAGGAAGGGAGAAAGAAAGATTATATGTTAGCATATTTTTTTTCCATTTTAAAAACTACAGTATTTTCCCCCACATAGGTGCCTTAGCTGGACCAATTATTGTGGAGCCACATGTCACAGCAGTGTGGGGAAAGAATGTTTCATTGAAGTGTTTAATTGAAGTAAATGAAACCATAACACAAATTTCATGGGAGAAGATACATGGTAAAAGTTCACAGACTGTTGCAGTTCATCATCCTCAATATGGATTCTCTGTTCAAGGAGAATATCAGGGAAGAGTCTTGTTTAAAAACTATTCACTCAATGATGCAACAATTACTCTACATAACATAGGATTCTCTGATTCTGGAAAATACATATGCAAAGCTGTTACATTCCCACTTGGAAATGCCCAGTCCTCTACAACTGTAACTGTGTTAGGTAAGTATGCTTGACTTTCGTTTTTGGTGATGGTAGTAAGGATTATAATAAAAATATTTTCAAAAATTGAAAATGTTTTAAATTTAGATTTAAAGTAAACAAATTCAAATATGATTTTTTCAAATTCTGTTTTAAAATTCTGATTCTAGGCTCTCTTAATTTGAATAAAATCTTTTCTGTGTATACCTACCTGTCTATATAATGTTACATAGTTTTAGCTATTTTACTTCATGAAGGATTGTGCTGAGTTTTAATTATAATTATATACTAAGTGCTTGAGTTTCTGCGACATTTATTTCCATTACTTTCCCTCAAATTTCCAACCTTTAATTAAATTATCATCTTTAGTTGAGATTTTCCATTTTTTTAAGAAAATGAGTTTGTCTTCTTGGAGCCATTGACATCTCCTGTTTTAATTTTCATATCAAATTTTATTCCATCTATTTTAGATTTGCTTAGCTATTTGAATTTTGTGCTGTTGTTAAAAGTAATGATATTCTATCATTCTTACCTGATAACTCTGAAAGTTTATGGTAAAATGTTGAATAAACTTATAAGTATTAAGATAGCCACTGCAGTGAAATGTAAACCAATTTGGAAATGCTGATAAGTATTTTTGGAATAATATAACAAGGATTAAGGAATAATAGTAACCTGTGGCTGACATGGAGATACAATGCTTTTTCTCCTTCAGAAACACTCATTGCCCAGTTGCTAGGGGTATGGTTAGCTGACAGCAGGAAGCTGTCAGCTCCTTTAAGATCACTTTTTATTTAGATTTTGTTTTATTTTTTATTGATATACAATATTTTATATATTTGAGTTCAAGTTATGTTCTTTTCATGGGTGCCCTCAGGCCAATGATTGAGCAAGGCATTGGTTATTGAGGTCAAGTTTCTCTTGGGACCAGCAATTGAACAAGATAGTGGTATGAAGACCTGGACATTTTCACCCAACGTGGGACTCCTTTAATGGGAATCTTTGCTCTGTATCTTTCCCTTGGCCTGACAAAGACTTTGTTAGGTCTGCTGATAGCCCCCCTGCCACTCAATCCTCCTTCTTACCTTTTCTCTAGGTATTACTCCCTAATAAATCTTTGATACTCCTTACTCGTTCACAGTGTCTGCTTTGCAGAGAACTAAACAAGTTCACAGCCCCTAATATTTAATAATACAATATTAGAGTCTCTGGCATACAGAAAAGCAATTGTGTCCAAATTTGTATATTTTTTTCATGTCGAGAGATACTATTTAAAAATAAAATTAAACATTTGAGGATTTAATATGTTTAAAACACTACCTTAAGAGCTGTGGGGAAATATAATTTACATTGAAGAGATTGATACTTTTGAGAAATTTTCTGATTAGGAGGCAAGGCAAAAATATTTGAAAAATGAAGTGCAAGACATCAATAAAAAGTTACACAAAGTTCTGTATCAAGAAAATAATAAATATTTTCCATGTAAAAGAGAGAATTCATGGGGATAAAGTCACTTTTTATTTTGCTTTAAATTATAGTAGTTTTCTCTAAATTAATACAGTACAATTGGCTTAAAACTCAAGACTGCTTATGTTACAGGACTTGTGATTTTGCCCATGCCTACTTCTCTCACTTCATCTATTCAATCCCTTGCTGCTTCTCTTTCAACAACCCTAATCTTAAAGTCATAATAAACTATTTGCAGTTCTATTAACCTGTGTCTTTATGTGTGTTTCTCCTTCTGCCTGGATTGCTGCCTTTTCCCTCCTGTCTCTTTCTTCCTACATTTTCCTATGTAACTATTACTCAACGAATCACATATAGAAGCCATTCTTGACCCCTTCCCCTAATCTGATGCTTTTTTTGCTTTTTATCATTGTGTATTGAGCATGTCTTTATTGTAGCAGTTACCATACTATTTATTATATGTTTTCTCTACTATAAACATGTGGTGAACAGCAGTTGTGCACTTTAAAATTTAATTTTATATGCCCAAAGCCTGTAAGAGTTTTTGGTATATAGAAGTCATAGAATAAATGTTATTTGAGTAGGATATAGGAATGGATTGGTGAACTTGGTAGTCAAGAAATGTTTTGGAGAAGAAATAGTTGAGCCAGTCCTTGAATGGTGGGTTGGTTTTGGGTTGGCAAAAATAAAAGAATTCGGAAATGTTATTCTAGGATTAAAAGTACGTGAGGCAAGGCAGGGAGGCAGAAAACAATATGCAGTTGACCCGTGAACGACATGGGTTCAAGCTGTGCAGTTCCACTTATGCACAGATTTTTTTCAACCAAATGCAGATTGAAAATATAGTATTCCTGGGATGTGAAACCCGCATATACAGAGGGCTGACTTTTCCTATATGTGGGTTCTGCAGGCCTGTCTGTGGGATTTGAGTATGCACAAATTTGGGTATACTCGGGCCCTGAAGCCAATCCTTTCCATATACTGATGGACGACTGTACTTAAGACAGAGTTTTTCTTCAATTTTTTGAAATTTTGGGCTTGAATTCTTTCTTGTGATGAGCTTCCTTATCCAATGTTGACTGTTTAGCAGTATCCATGTCCTCTACCCACTAATTGCCAGTGGCATCCTCAGTTGTGAAACTCAGAATTTCTCCAGACATTGCTAAGTATCCTCTTGGAGTGGTGGGAGGTAGGGGGAAATCACCCCCTTTTGAGAACCCTGCTTTAGTGGAACACTGAATAAGTAATTTGTTGACTGTTCAAAAGATTTATATAAAGTACAAGAATTAAAGTTCAGAAAGGTAGAGTAGGACCACAGTAAAGTAACTTGAATGCTAGGATGGGGAATTTGAGCTTTATATTATCGGTAATGCTAGCTTATTAGACAATGGATGGTCTTCTTTTCACCTCCTTTCTACTCTGAGACCCCTTTCTGTTTAAAATGTGGTTTGTAGAACAGTGGCATTGGCATCACTTAACTTGTTAGCAATACAAAATTTCAGACCCCTCTTAGATTTATTGAATTAAAAATTTAAAAGGTAGTGTTTTAAATGAAATTATTAAGTCACTCATTGGGTCAAGAAAAACATTGGTCATTTTCCTATGGGAATGCTCAGAGAAACTTTTTTTTCCCTTAACTTTTTAACAGAAGTTTTCATAATCCTAACTTATTTTTTTTTAAAGTATTTGCTTTAAAATTTGTTGTTGTAAAACGAAGCATTATGTATTAAAACTGATTTTTTTCTTTTAGATTAGCAATGTTTTTAATTTCATAGGGAAATTATCTAGTTCATAGAAATTTTTTGTATATATTAATTTGAAGGGATCTCATTTTTCCTATAAAGTAATGTATATATGTATCAAGGAGAGCCATTTTTATAATGGTTATATAAAATCTTGGCCTCTTGTTTTTCATAGCTTATGATCTTCTCTTTTTCCAGGAATGCAATTGATGATGGCATTACCTAAAAAGTGTATGTTGATTTTATATGCAGTTGTCCCTAAACTTATGAAATATGTCTAGATGCGGCTTAGAAGGATGTAAATATATTGTTGTTTGAATGTAACTAATTTTTTTAAAAAATTTAAACAGTTGAACCCACTGTGAGCCTGATAAAAGGGCCAGATTCTTTAATTGATGGCGGAAACGAAACAGTAGCAGCCGTTTGTATCGCAGCCACTGGAAAACCAGTTGCACGTATTGACTGGGAAGGTGATCTTGGTGAAATGGAATCCACTACAACTTCTTTTCCAAATGAAACAGCAACGATTGTCAGCCAATACAAGCTGTTTCCAACCAGATTTGCTAGAGGAAGGCGAATTACTTGTGTTGTGAAACATCCAGCCTTGGAAAAGGACATCCGATACTCTTTCGTATTAGACATACAGTGTAAGTAAATGGTAACATTTGCATTTTCAACATTAGTCATGCATTTTATTTTATTTTTTCCATTGATGCATTCATTTCTTTATCAGACTTTTTAGTTCAAATATTTAGTATTCAGATATTCCTAAAGCTTTTCTTTGTTAACATTGTTTTTCTTTTCTGTTTATTTTCAGTTTATATTCTCATAGAAATTTCATTTAACCAGAAAATTTTTCTATCAGTTTTTTTAAAGATGAATACGTGACTTTAAAGTTGCTTTCCAACTTGAAA